CTCCCCAAGGGTTAGACAAAAGGTGCATCACCCTCCCCAAGGGTTAGAGAAAAGGTGCATCACCCTCCCCTAGGGTTAGAGAAAAGGTGCATCACCCTCCCCTAGGGTTAGAGAAAAGGTGCATCACCCTCCCCTAGGGTTAGAGAAAAGGTGCATCACCCTCCCCTAGGGTTAGAGAAAAGGTGCATCACCCTCCCCTAGGGTTAGAGAAAAGGTGCATCACCCTCCCCAAGGGTTAGACAAAAGGTGCATCACCCTCCCCAAGGGTTAGACAAAAGGTGCATCACCCTCCCCTAGGGTTAGAGAAAAGGTGCATCACCCTCCCTTAGGGTTAGACAAAAGGTGCATCACCCTCCCCAAGGGTTAGACAAAAGGTGCATCACCCTCCCCAAGGGTTAGAGAAAAGGTGCATCACCCCCCCAAGGGTTAGACAAAAGGTGCATCACCCCCCCCAAGGGGTTAGACAAAAGGTGCATCACCCTCCCCAAGGGTTAGACAAAAGGTGCATCACCCTCCCCAAGGGTTAGAGAAAAGGTGCATCACCCTCCCCAAGGGTTAGACAAAAGGTGCATCACCCTCCCCCCCAAGGGGTTAGACAAAAGGTGCACCACCCTCCCCAAGGGGTTAGACAAAAGGTGCATCACCCTCCCCAAGGGTTAGAGAAAAGGTGCATCACCCTCCCCCCCAAGGGGTTAGACAAAATGTGCATCACCCTCCCCAAGGGTTAGAAAAAAGGTGCATCACCCTCCCCAAGGGTTAGAAAAAAGGTGCATCACCCTCCCCTAGGGTTAGAGAAAAGGTGCATCACCCTCCCCTAGGGTTAGAGAAAAGGTGCATCACCCTCCCCTAGGGTTAGAGAAAAGGTGCATCACCCTCCCCAAGGGTTAGACAAAAGGTGCATCACCCTCCCCTAGGGTTAGAGAAAAGGTGCATCACCCTCCCCAAGGGTTAGAGAAAAGGTGCATCACCCTCCCCAAGGGTTAGACAAAAGGTGCATCACCCTCCCCAAGGGTTAGACAAAAGGTGCATCACCCTCCCCTAGGGTTAGAGAAAAGGTGCATCACCCTCCCCTAGGGTTAGACAAAAGGTGCATCACCCTCCCCAAGGGTTAGACAAAAGGTGCATCACCCTCCCCAAGGGTTAGACAAAAGGTGGCGATGAAGTCTATTATTTTTCTTTTATTTCTTTGTAATCCGCTGTCCACTCGCGCGCACATACAAAATGTTAGATTTAGATTAATGACCCCATAGAGTCTACAAGAGATTAATGACCCCCATATTGTCTATAAAAGATTATTGACCCCATATAGTCTATAAAAGATCAATGACCCCCATATTGTCTACAAGAGATCAATGACCCCCCCCATAAAGTATACAAAAGATTAATGACCCCCATATTGTGTATAAAAGATCAATGACCCCATATTGTCTACAAAAGATTAATGACCCCCATATTGTCTATAAAAGATCAATGACCCCATATAGTCTACAAAAGATTAATGACCCCCATATAGTCTATAAAAGATTAATGACCCCATATAGTCTACAAAAGATTAATGACCCCCATATAGTCTATAAAAGATTAATGACCCCATATAGTCTATAAAAGATTAATGACCCCCATATAGTCTATAAAAGATCAATGACCCCCAATATTGTCTATAAAAGATTAATGACCCCATATAGTCTATAAAAGATTAATGACCCCCATATAGTCTATAAAAGATCAATGACCCCCATATTGTCTACAAGAGATCAATGACCCCCCCCATAAAGTATACAAAAGATTAATGACCCCCATATAGTCTATAAAAGATCAATGACCCCCATATAGTCTATAAAAGATCAATGACCCCCATATTGTCTACAAAAGATCAATGACCCCCACCCTGTCGCCTGCAGTAAAGACCCCCCTCATGATTGCGATGAGTTTCCATCAGGCCGACATTATCAAACAGTTTTCCACTCCGTTAGACATATGGTGGCCGACAGGACTGGCATAATCAGAGGCAGGTATCGATATTAGTTCAATAGTATCGATATTAGTTCAATAGTATCGATATTAGTTGAATAGTATCGATATTAGTTCAATAGTATCGATATTAGTTCAATAGTATCGATATTAGTTGAATAGTATCGATATTAGTTCAATAGTATCGATATTAGTTCAATAGTATCGATATTAGTTCAATAGTATCGATATTAGTTGAATAGTATCGATATTAGTTCAATAGTATCGATATTAGTTCAATAGTATCGATATTAGTTCAATAAGAGGTATCGATCTCATCCCGACAGAGACTAAAAAGACAAAATACCGTCAAGGAGATTCTAGCTATCCTACCCAAAAGGACATTCTTGCAGTGTCCTAAGAATAAGGACTTTTTTGTCATAAAGGACATATTAGTGACCAGCAGTATCAACAGCAAGTGACCAGTCAACAGGAAGTGACTAGTCAACAGGAAGTGACCAGTCAACAGGAAGTGACCAGTCAACAGGAAGTGACCAGTCAACAGGAAGTGACCAGTCAACAGGAAGTGACCAGTCAACAGGAAGTGACCAGTCAACAGGAAGTGACCAGCCAACAGGAAGTGACCAGTCAACAGGAAGTGACCAGTCAACAGTAATTGACCAGCCAACAGGAAGTGACCAGTCAACAGGAAGTGACCAGTCAACAGGAAGTGACCAGTCAACAGGAAGTGACCAGTCAACAGGAAGTGACCAGTCAACAGGAAGTGACCAGCCAACAGGAAGTGACCAGTCAACAGGAAGTGACCAGTCAACAGTAATTGACCAGCCAACAGGAAGTGACCAGTCAACAGGAAGTGACCAGCCAACAGGAAGTGACCAGTCAACAGGAAGTGACCAGTCAACAGGAAGTGACCAGTCAACAGGAAGTGACCAGTCAACAGGAAGTGACAAGTCAACAGGAAGTGACCAGCCAACAGGAAGTGACCAGTCAACAGGAAGTGACCAGTCAACAGGAAGTGACCAGTTAACAGGAATTGACCAGCAGTGTCAACAGGAAGTGACCAGTCAACAGGAAGTGACCAGTCAACAGGAAGTGACCAGTCAACAGGAAGTGACCAGTCAACAGGAAGTGACCAGTCAACAGGAAGTGACCAGTCAACAGGAAGTGACCAGTCAACAGGAAGTGACCAGTCAACAGGAAGTGACCAGTCAACAGGAAGTGACCAGTCAACAGGAAATGACCAGTCAACAGGAAGTGACCAGTCAACAGGAAGTGACCAGTCAACAGGAAGTGACCAGTCAACAGGAAGTGACCAGTCAACAGGGAGTGACCAGTTAACAGGAATTGACCAGCAGTGTCAACAGGAAGTGACCAGTCAACAGGAAGTGACCAGTCAACAGGAAGTGACCAGCGGTGTCAACAAGGAAATGACCAGTCAACAGGAAGTGACAAGTCAACAGGAAATGACCAGTCAACAGGAAGTGACCAGTCAACAGGAAGTGACCAGTCAACAGGAAGTGACCAGTCAACAGGAAGTGACCAGTCAACATGAAGTGACCAGTCAACAGGATGTGACCAGTCAACAGGAAGTGACCAGCCAACAGGAAGTGACCAGCGGTGTCAACAGAAATTGACAAGTCAACAGGAAGTGACCAGTCAACAGGAAGTGACCAGTCAACAGGAAGTGACCAGCGGTGTCAACAAGGAAATGACCAGTCAACAGGAAGTGACCAGTCAACAGGAAGTGACCAGTCAACAGGAAGTGACCAGTCAACAGGAAGTGACCAGTCAACAGGAAGTGACTAGCGGTGAACCTACAAGCAATTTGGGCGAGAAATCAAACATGAAAGCGAGAATGCCTGGTCTAAAAATACCTAATGGCCGATTAACGAGACCATACAACGTCAGCACAGGCCATTACAAAAATTTAGTCAAACCATCTTGGCCAATAGTTTGACTGGCCAACGTTACATGACACTGCTCTCTGATATCAGTGTTAAGGGTTATAAAAAAGACGAACTAATTTTTTTGGACAGAAATTGCGTTTCGCCATTTGCAGCTCGCCCTTCCGTGCCTCGTGTCGTGAGCGGCCACAGTCGCGCGTGTGTCCGCCGGCCACTCACTCGATGCACGCGCTCTCACGTGCTGGGATAATTCACGATACAACTTGTGAGTAGGATCTACCTCGTTTTAGGGTAGGTTTAGTAATAGGTTTGTTGATAGGTTTATTGATAGGTTTAGTGATAGGTTTAATTATAGGTTAAAGGTTAGGTTTAGTGATAGGTTTAGTGATAGGTTTAGTGATAGGTGTATTGATAGGTTTAGACTTCGGTTTAGTGATAGATTTAGTGATATGTTTAGTGATATGTGTATTGATAGGTTAAGAGTTAGGCTTAGTGATAGGTTTAGTGATAGGTTTAGTGATAGGTTTAGTGATAGCTAAGATCTGATTCTAATTAACCTCTTGTGTCAGTGTTAGGTTGTAAGGTTCAGGCCAATGCAAATACACACTGGATTTCTTTTGGACCATTCAATCAATTTATTGAAATCATAAATTAAAATATTAAGGGAAAATATTTTTATTTTAACTATATATACAAACAGACACACACACACACACACACACACACACACACATATATATATATATATATATATATATATATATATATATATATATATATATATATATATATATATATATATATATATATATATATATATATATGGTAATAATAATTTTCGATGGTGATAAAAAGTTAGCGTACTGGCTGTTTGAGAGAAATTAAAACTTTTGTAACAAGAAAATAAGACTTAAAGTTTACGTAAGAAATCAAATAAGATGTAGAGATAGCAGAGAAATCAAATAAGATGTAAAGATAGCAGAGGATTGGCCCTGCTGAGGTCATTAAAGAAGAGTAATGAGACATGGCAATGTGATGACGTTACAGGATTAAATTTTTTAAAGATTTAGTTAGGGACTTATTTCTGCTACAGCGTGTGTGTACTGAGTTGTTTTATCCAGCGGTAAATTCCACAAGTTACATCATCAGATGGCCCTCATGAGATAACAGTTTGAGCTGAGATATTTAACAAGGGATTAGTAAATCAGTAGTTGATTTGTGAACATTATTTTATTCACAAAAATTGCCTTCACGTGCGCTATCATTTAATGGATTAGAAAATGGATGAAAGAAACCAGAGGATTTGATGAGTCTGCCGGCTACCAGATTCTAGTGCTTGGAGTGGAACTGTTTATTTCTGAAGCTGACGCTCTAAGCTGCACCACCTATTTGATGCACGGCTCTACTGCTTCAACACGAGGCAAGGGTTTCTTTCATTCATTGACTGACTGAAATGTTTTCAGTTACAGTTCTTGATAAGGACAAGTGGGACAACTTTTCGCCAACAAAAACAAATGGTTTTATAATTAGCATCAAGGCGTGTTCCGTTATGTAACTGTAAGCATCAAGGTGTGTTCCGTTATGTAACTGTAAGCATCAGGGTGTGATCATTCGACACAGCAGGATTTAGTGCTGGACCGTCCCACACACGTCCCACACACGTCCCACACACGTCCCACACACGTCCCACACACGTCCCACACACGTCCCACACACGTCCCACACACAGCCCACACACAGCCCACACACGTCCCACACACCATGTCAAGCGGCTAAAAATAAAGATGTGTTCTGTCAGCCCAGCACGTGCCAACGAGTGAGCAAATCAATCGATCGCAGTCTAAGTGCTCACCTGTGCCAGACTAAGCAGGTGAGTTCATTTTTACCTGTCTCTGTCTCTGTCTCACAACATTTTTACCTGTCTCTGTCTCTGTCACACAACATTTTTACCTGTCTCTGTCTCACAACATTTTTACCTGTCTCTGTCTCACAACATTTTTACCTGTCTCTGTCACACAACATTTTTACCTGTCTCTGTCTCTTTCACACAACATTTTTACCTGTCTCTGTCACACATTTTTACCTGTCTCTGTCTCTGTCTCACAACATTTTTACCTGTCTCTGTCTCTGTCACACAACATTTTTACCTGTCTCTGTCACACCACATTTTTACCTGTCTCTGTCACACAACATTTTTACCTGTCTCTGTCACACAACATTTTTAACTGTCTCTGTCTCTGTCTCACAACATTTTTACCTGTCTCTGTCTTTGTCGCACATTTTTACCTGTCTCTGTCTCACAACATTTTTACCTGTCTCTGTCACACATTTTTACCTGTCTATGTCTCTTTCACACAAAATTTTTACCTGTCTCTGTCACACAACATATTTACCTGTCTCTGTCACACATTTTTACCTGTCTCTGTCTCTGTCACACAACATTTTTACCTGTCTCTGTCTCTGTCACACAACATTTTTACCTGTCTCTGTCTCACAACATTTTTACCTGTCTCTGTCTCACAACATTTTTACCTGTCTCTGTCACACAACATTTTTACCTGTCTCTGTCTCTTTCACACAACATTTTTACCTGTCTCTGTCACACATTTTTACCTGTCTCTGTCTCTGTCTCACAACATTTTTACCTGTCTCTGTCTCTGTCACGCAACATTTTTACCTGTCTCTGTCACACCACATTTTTACCTGTCTCTGTCACACAACATTTTTACCTGTCTCTGTCACACAACATTTTTAACTGTCTCTGTCTCTGTCTCACAACATTTTTACCTGTCTCTGTCTTTGTCGCACATTTTTACCTGTCTCTGTCTCACAACATTTTTACCTGTCTCTGTCACACATTTTTACCTGTCTATGTCTCTTTCACACAAAATTTTTACCTGTCTCTGTCACACAACATTTTTAACTGTCTCTGTCTCTGTCTCACAACATTTTTACCTGTCTCTGTCTTTGTCGCACATTTTTACCTGTCTCTGTCTCACAACATTTTTACCTGTCTCTGTCACACATTTTTACCTGTCTATGTCTCTTTCACACAAAATTTTTACCTGTCTCTGTCACACAACATATTTACCTGTCTCTGTCACACATTTTTACCTGTCTCTGTCTCTGTCACACAACATTTTTACCTGTCTCTGTCTCTGTCTCACAACATTTTTACCTGTCTCTGTCTTTCTCACACAACATTTTTACCTGTTTCTGTCTCTGTCACACTCTGGTGAGTCGGGGCATTCGTACCAGTAACCCTCGCCACCTCTCACTGCCCCCCTCCCACCTCACACTGCCCCAACTCCCACCTCTCACTGCCCCACCCCCCCTCTCACTGCCCCACCCCCCACCTCTCACTGCCCCCTACCTCTCACTGCCCCACCCCAACCTCTTACTGCCCCACCCCTACCTCTCACTTCCCCCCACTGCCCCACCCTCCACCTCTCACTGCCCCAACCCCCCCTCTCACTGCCCCACCCCCCACCTCTCACTGCCTCCTACCTCTCACTGCCCCACCCCAACCTCTTACTGCCCCACCCCTACCTCTCACTTCCCCCCACTGCCCCACCCTCCACCTCTCACTGCCCCACCCCCACCTCTCACTGCCCCACCCCAACCTCTTACTGGCCCACCCCCACCTCTCACTCCCCCACCTCTCACTGCCCCACCCCCCACCTATCACTGCCCCACCCCCCACCTCTCACTTCCCCCTACTGCCCCACCCCCCACCTACCACTGCCCCACCCCCCACCTCTCACTGCCCCACCCCCACCTCTCACTGCCCCACCCCAACCTCTTACTGGCCCACCCCCACCTCTCACTCCCCCACCTCTCACTGCCCCACCCCCCACCTATCACTGCCCCACCCCCCACCTCTCACTTCCCCCCACTGCCCCACCCCCCACCTACCACTGCCCCACCCCCCACCTATCACTGCCCCACCCCCCACCTCTCACTTCCCCCCACTGCCCCACCCCCCACCTATCACTGCCCCACCCCCCACCTCTCACTGCCCCACCCCCCTCTTCTCACTGCCCCACCCCCTCCTCTCACTCCCCCACCTCTCACTGCCCCACCCCCACCTCTCACTGCCCCACCTCCCACCTCTCACTGCCCCACCCCCCACCTCTCACTGCCCCACCCCCACCTCTCACTGCCCCACCCCCCACCTCTCACTGCCCCACCCCCACCTCCCAATGCCCCACCCCCCCCCCCACCCCACCTCTCACTGCCCCACCCTCCACCTCTCACTGCCCCACCCCCCACCTCTCACTGCCCCACCCCCCACCTCTCACTGCCCCACCCCCCACCTCTCACTGCCCCACCCCCCACCTCTCACTGCCCCCCACCTTTCACTGCCCCACCCCACCGTGGGTCCCAGCAGTCGACATCACCTTTTCCAATCGAGCGATCCAAGCTAGCAGTTCACAGAGCCGTCCCTGGAGCAAAGCCCTCTTATATTGGAGTAATGTCCCTTTGTCATAATATGCCCTTTGTAACATCATCATTTACATAGAGCGAGCGAGTTCGCGAGCGAGTTCGCGAGAGAGAGAGAGAGAGAGAGAGAGAGAGAGAGAGAGAGAGAGAGAGAGAGAGAGAGAGAGAGAGAGAGAGATGGATAGACATAAGTCTATTTTGAGTAGGCCTATCTGGAAATATGAACAGACTGTATTCAGAAGATAACAGACAGTAGACAGCAGACAACAGACAGTATTCAGAAGACAACAGACAGTAGACAACAGACAGTAGACAACAGACAGCAGACAACAGACAGTAGACAGCAGACAACATGTTGTATTGATTAGTGTGAGTCGTCTGCGTGTTGCTGACCTTGACACACATGACCTGACACGGTTGGGGGAGGTGGGGTGGGGGCGGCTGGTAGTCTTAGATTACTAACGTTGTATTGATAAATGACGTCATCGATTGTTTGGCGCAGAGAAAAAGAAAAAGATTGAATCTCACAGTAGCTATTTCTATGAATGAATTCTATTGGTCGAATCTATTTCATTTGATATAATCTATTTGTGTGATCTATTTCATTGATTTCATCTATTGAGGTGATCTATTTCATTGATTTCATCTATTGATTTGATCTATTTCATTGATTTCATCTATTAATGTGATCTATTTCATTGATTTCATCTATTGATGTGATCTATTTCACAACCAACCAGCCTTGACCCAGTGACCTAATATTTCACGCGCTGCTTTGAGAAAAAAAAATGTGTGATGACATCACTTCCGGTCATTAGTTTTTGTGGTGTCCAAGACTAGAGTATGCTGTAACACGTGTAGCGTTGCTCACATGTTTGTCAAGCTTGTCTGTCAAGTTTGTCTGTCAAGTTTGTCTGTCAAGTTTGTCTGTCAAGTTTGTCTGTCAAGTTTGTCTGTCAAGTTTGTCTGTCAAGTTTGTCTGTCAAGTTTGTCTGTCAAGTTTGTCTGTCAAGTTTGTCTGTCAAGTTTGTCTGTCAAGTTTGTCTGTCAAGTTTGTCTGTCAAGTTTGTCAAGTTTGTCTGTCAAGTTTGTCTGTCAAGTTTGTCAAGTTTATCTGTCAAGTTTGTCTGTCAAGTTTGTCTGTCAAGTTTGTCTGTCAAGTTTGTCTGTCAAGTTTGTCTGTCAAGTTTGTCTGTCACGTTTGTCTATTTTTTTCTGTCAAGTTTGTCTGTCAAGTTCGTTTGTCAAGTTTGTCTATTTTGTCTGTCAAATTTGTTCGTCAAGCGTGGCTGAGACCTTATTAGGTGTCAAAAGATGTACCATAGAGCCGTCCAATGAAATCACTCCAGACTTCACGTGACACACAAGTTGACTGACCAGACGTTGACTGACCACACGTTGACTGACAAGTTGACTGACAACAAGTTGACTGACCACACGTTGACTGACAAGTTGACTGACCACAAGTTGACTGACCACACGTTGACTGACCACACGTTGACTGACCACACGTTGACTGACCACACGTTGACTGACCACACGTTGACTGACCACACGTTGACTGACAAGTTGACTGACCAGACGTTGACTTACCACACGTTGACTGACAAGTTGACTGACCACAAGTTGACTGACCACACGTTTACTGACAAGTTGACTGACCACACGTTGACTGACCACACGTTGACTGACAAGTTGACTGACCACACGTTAACTAACCACACGTTGACTGACCACACGTTGAATGACAAGTTGACTGACCACACGTTGACTTACCACACGTTGACTGACCACACGTTGACTGACAAGTTGACTGATCACACGTTGACTGACAAGTTGACTGACCATAAGTTGACTGACCACACGTTGACTGACAAGTTGACTGACCACAAGTTGACTGACCACACGTTGACTGACCACACGTTGACTGACAAGTTGACTGACCACACGTTGACTGACCACACGTTGACTGACCACACGTTGACAGACAACAAGTTGACTGACCACACGTTGACTGACCACACGTTGACTGACCACACGTTGACAGACAACAAGTTGACTGACCACACGTTGACTGACCACACGTTGACTGACCACACGTTGACAGACAACAAGTTGACTGACCACACGTTGACTGACCACACGTTGACAGACAACAAGTTGACTGACCACACGTTGACTGACCACACGTTGACTGACAAGTTGACTGACCACAAGTTGACTGACCACACGTTGACTGACCACACGTTAACTGACAAGTTGACTGACCACACGTTGACTGACCACACGTTTACTGATAAGTGGACTGACCATACGTTGACTGACCACACGTTGACTGACCGCACGTTGACTGACAAGTTGACTGACCACACGTTGACTTACAATTAGACTGACCACACGTTGACTGACCACAAAATGACTGACCACATATTGACTGATCACACGTTGACTGACAAGTTGACTGACCACACGTTGCTTGACCAAAAGTTGACTGACCACAAGTTGACTTACCACACGTTGACTGACCACACGTTGACTAACCACATCTTGAATGTGCAGTAGTCAAAGATGACTGACAAAAGGGTTGCTATTAAAATGGCACCATGGTTGTTGTATCGTACTGCCCCCCTCCCCCCAGCCAGTTGCTAACAAGCTGGTTGTTGTATCATACTGCCCCCCTCCCCCCAGCCAGTTGCTAACAAACTGGTTGTCACTCGTCTGGCGGGCTAACAAATGGTTGCTATGGCAACCACAACAATGAATACGGTTTCTAGAATCAATAACAAGTATTAGGGTCATCTGCATTCCGACAACAATCACACAAGAATCACACAATCAATCACACAATCAATCACACAATCAATCACAAAATCAATCACACAAGAACCACACAATCAATCACACTACAATCATACAACAATTGCCTAATCAATCACTCAACAATCACACAATTAATCACACAATCAATCACACACAAAAACACATAAAAACACTAAACAAAACACAAAAACACACATAACAATCGCACAGCAATAACGAAGCAATCTCACAAACTGACATGTTACTACACTGACAACAACTGCCACTGACAACTGCCAGTGACAACAACTACCACTGACAACAACTGCCACTGACAACAACTACCACTGACAACAACTACCACTGACAACAACTAATACTGACAACAACTGCCAGTGACAACAACTGCCACTGACAACATCTGCAACTTTTTTTGGGACTGCTCGTGTAATTATAATGAGACAATAGCTAGTCAAATAATTTAAATTTTATTGTGAGGTGTGGGTTTGTATTTGGTGAGGTGATGGGTGGATGTTGTGAGGTGAGGGGTGGATGTTGTGAGGTGAGGGGTGGATGTTATGAGGTAAAGGGGTGGATGTTGTGGGGTGAGGGTTGGATGTTGTGAGGTGAGGGGTGGATGTTGTGGGGTGAGGGTTGGATGTTGTGAGGTGAGGGGTGGATGTTGTGCGGTGAGCGGTGGATGTTGTGAGGTGAGGGGTGGATGTTGTGAGGTAAGGGGTGGATGTTGTGGGGTGAGGGTTGGATGTTGTGAGGTGAGGGGTGGATGTTGTGGGGTGAGGGTTGGATGTTGTGAGGTGAGGGGTGGATGTTGTGAGGTGAGGGGTGGGGTGGATGTTGGGAGGTGATAGGTGGGGTGGATGTTGTGAGGTGAGGGGTGGATGTTGTGAGGTGGGGGTGGATGTTGTGAGGTGGGGGTGGATGTTGTGAGGTGAGGAGTGGATGTTGTGAGGTGAGGGGTGGATGTTGTGAGGTGGGGGTGGATGTTATGAGGTGAGGGGTGGATGTTGTGAGGTGAGGGGTGGATGTTGTGAGGTGGGGGTGGATGTTGTGAGGTGAGGGGTGGATGTTGTGAGGTGAGGTGGATGTTGTGAGGTGTGGGGTGGATGTTGTGAGGTGAGGGGTGGATGTTGTGAGGTGGGGGTGGATGTTGTGAGGTGAGGGGTGGATGTTGTGAGGTAAGGGGTGGATGTTGTGAGGTGAGGGGTGGATGTTGTGAGGTGAGGGGTGGATGTTGTGAGGTGAGGGGTTGGGTGGATGTTGTGAACGGTGGATGTTGTGAGCGGTGGATGTTGTGAGGTGTGGGGTGGGGTGGATGTTGGGAGGTTAGGGGTGGATGTTGTGAGGTGAGGAGTGCATGTTGTGAGGTGAGGGGTGGATGTTGTGAGGTGGGGGTGGATGTTGTGAGGTGAGGGGTGGATGTGAGGTGAGGGGTGGATGTTGTGAGGTGAGGAGTGGATGTTGTGAGGTGAGGAGTGGATGTTGTGAGTTGAGGGGTGGATGTTGTGAGGTGAAGGGTGGATGTTGTGATTTTGCGACTTCTAAACTGTTATTGATTAAAAATATTAATTAGTAAACAGCACGTGTTTACTAATTAATATTTGTAATCAATAACAGTTTAGAAGTCGCTCCTAATTGTCCTCCATGTTTACTTCTATTTTTCGGTTTGCGGACAAGCTGGGGTATTATATCGTTCACTAAATTGAATCAGGCGCGTCGCCAGCGACCCAGCAGGGTTCTATTTGGCATCCTGATCTATCAATTGAGCGATATGGTGCATACGTTCGTTTTAATGAGTGCGATTGGCTGTGAATAAAAAGGGATACTATAGTTGTTCACTAAATCAAATCCAGAGCTTCCTTTGACATCCCAGGTCTTCCCGTGCGCGATACGATCGGCTTACTGAGTGCAACAGGCTAAGGATAATATGGGGTATTTTGTCGTTTACTAATCTGTATCAGGCGGTTCCGCCCGCGCCCCGGCAGGGTAAGATTTGGCACCACGGGCTATAATGTGAGCAAAATAGGCCAGCGTTTATGCTTGCATTTAAATTTGTGTTTATGTTCTTCATTATAGTTTGCATTTAGGTTTGCATTGTATTTGTGTTTATATTTGCGTTTGAGTTTGTGTTTGCATTTTTGTTTGGATTGTGTTTTTGTTTATGTTTGAGTTTGGTTTGCTTTTGCGTTTGTGTTTGCTTTTTCGTTGCGTTAGAGTTTGCGTTTATGTTTGTGTTTACATTTCTGTTTGTTTCCTTTGTTTGTTTCCTTTCGTGTTTGCGTTTGTGTTTGCGTTTATGTTTGAATTTTTGTTTTTATTTTTGTTTGCTTTTGCTTTTGTGTTTGCGTTTGTGTTTGCAAATGTGGTTTTGTTTGGGTTTCTGTTTTAGTTTGCATTAGTGCTTGTGTTTGCGTTTGTATTTGTGTAAAGTTTGCTCTCGTTTTCGTTGTCGTGTTTGTGTTGTTGTTTTTTTTTTGGTTGGTTTTGGTTAGTGTTAAGTTTAAAGTTAGAGTTGGGTTTAGGGTTGTATTTAAAGATAGGTTTTCCACAATGGCCAGTGCAGGGCCTGGCCGGGACGGCTAGTATATATATATATATATATATATATATATATATATATATATATATATATATATATATATATATATATATATATATATATATATATATATATATATATATATATATATATATATATATATATATATATATATATATATATATATATATATATGAAAGTTAAACGGCCTTAACTCTGTCGGGCCTGTGAGCCGGTCCATTTGCTACCGACCCATGACGTGACATGAGAAACAGATCGGCCATTACTCCACGGGCTTGAGATTCTCAACCCTGCTCCTTTGTAAACAACACCCTCCCCCCCCCTCAATCACCGCGTCCTGCCCCCACCCCAATCACGGCGTCCTGCTATCGAAATGTCGGTAAAATTGGGCGACAAAATGTCTTCGCGTCTACTGTCGTCAATCTATGGGTTTCAAAGATCAGTTGAAAAGTTTCTAATTCATACGGCTGTCATCAGATGTCATCTCTAATGATTGTGGTGGTTCTCTGTCATCAGATGCCATCTCTAATGATTGTGGTGGTTCTCTGTCATTAGATGTCATATGTCATCTAATCTTCTGCCATTATACTTACACTGTCATTAAATTGTCTGTCATAAGCTGACAACTGTTATATGTCATCTGTGATTCCTCTGTAAGCAGATGTCAACTGTCATGTCATTTGTTCCCCTGACAGGGCAGCAGACGTCAAGATGGAACTGGTCCAAGAGGAGGACGAGGAACCTGAAGTTAAACCAAACCGGAAGCGGGTCAACTTTAGGAAAGAGATGCTGCGCTATCAGAGCCTGAGGTCAGTCTGTTTGTCTGTTGGTCAGTCTGTTTGTTGTCTGTTTGTCTGTTGGTCAGTCTGTTTGTTGTCTGTCTGTCTGTCTGTCTGTTGGTCAGTCTCTCGGTCTATCGTAGTGTCGGTCAGTCTATTGATCAGTCTCACGAGTTAAAGTTAATGAACGTACGATAATTTAATGACTCGTGACACACCCCGATTGCAGACGGTTTTTAAACTTGCATGAACCCTCACCACATGAACCCTCACCACATGAACCCTCACCACATGAACCCTCTCCACATGAACCCTCACCACATGAACCCTCACCACATGAACCCTCACCACATGAACCCTCACCACATGAACCTCACCACATGAACCCTCACCACATGAACCTCACCACATGAACCCTCACCACATGAACCCTCTCCACATGAACCCTCACCACATGAACCCTCACCACATGAACCCTCACCACATGAACCCTCACCACATGAACCCTCACCACATGAACCCTCACCACATGAACCCTCACCACACGGCACAAACATCAGCCGTACTTCATCGTGGGCGTGGAGATGTGGCGTCGTGTGGGGCGCCCGGTGTAAGGGCGCCCAGTGTAGGGGCGTCCAGTTTATGGGTGCCCAGTTTAGGGGTGCCCAATTTAGGGGTGCCCAGTTTAGGGGTGTATAATGGTGTCTAGTATAGTGCTACATGGGGGGGGGTGAGGCTTTGTAGATAAAATGCACCCCTTCACACAATACCCAGACGACGCCCCCCCCCCTCACCCAACACACACTCCCCACACACTAAACATCCCAAGCCGTAGACGAAAAATACAAAGAAAATACAGGACTTGAGTGGTATCCACGTTACATGCACGTTGTTGTTTGATTGGTTATTGGTTGAGGGTAGTGAGTGGTTTATTTGTTTGTAGCTTTCTGTGTGGTGGTTCACTCATTGGAATAGCGTCTGTTAGTTTAAAGTTTGCACCCCCACCCACCACAGAAACCTACATACAAACCCTACACGTTTATTTTTATGAAGCTTATACCCCCACCCCACATGAACCTCCACACATGACCCTCCCATACTTACCCCCACATCAACCCACACACATGACCTCCCACACTTACCCCCACATCAACCCACACACATGACCCTCTCACACTTACCCCCACATCAACCCACACACATGACCCTCTCACACTTACCCCCACATCAACCCTCCCACATGACCCTCCCACACTTTTCCCCACATCAACCCACACACATGTGTAACGTTTACCTATCTATCAGCCAGATAGATGGTGAACGTCCCCGGATTCTTTTTTCGGGGTTATATGCAAATGACTTAAAGCCTAAATGAATGAACACTAACTCAACAACACACTAGGTCTCGATCTCGATGTCTAGGGAAAACTAGTGATACTATTGAAGTTAACACTCATCCAATCTGCATACAACCTTTAATAAGCGAACACAGTTGTGGCAGAACTCTAGGTTAAACTAGATAAAATATTTAATTTATAAAATGACAAAACCCAACTTACAAATCGTAAGAAAAAACACTATCACAGATTTCAACACTGTATAAAAATAGCCGCAGGTCACACAACACTACTATAGCTTCAATAATCACTTGGCGACAAGTAATTTTATACTAGAAGACTAAATCAACTTAAGAAAGCATAGCACACACAGGACTTAAGTTCTCTCACGTTCAAATGGTCAGAATCTATTGCCGGACAATATGGACGGCTTGGTCGTAATGGACCGTTTGTTCAAGGTAGACTGCCACGTGTGGCGAGTGTGCGGTGCAGTTAAAGACTTCTGCAACAGGGGAAGTTATCCTCAACTCATGTAGCCATTGGTTGGGATGGTCATCTGATCAGAATCAATCAATCAGATCTTAATGGAAAATGTCTGGGTCCTAGACACCTTAATAAGACAGTGGAAAAACCCCAGGTAGTTGCACCATCATTCCATATAAGGTATTATACAATGTCAAAATAAAACATTACCCGACCTAAGTAGGTCACACATGACCCTCCCACACTTTTCCCCACATGAACCCCCACACATGAACCCCCACACATGACTCTCCCCCCACAGAAACCCCCACACATGAACCCCCACACATGACTCTCCCCCCACAGAAACCCCCACACATGAACCCCCACACATAAACCCCCACACATGACTCTCCCCCCACAGAAACCACATCAACGAGTCCCAGTTTCTGGCCGCTGAGGAGGACGATCTAGAGGACAAGGACACAAACATCTGGAGAAATTTCGTCTCACAGTGCTCGGCGACTTTCTTGGCTGTCTTTGCTGTCATTCCGTCCAGGTATGTGCTGTCATTCCGTCCAGGTATGTGCTGTCATTCCGTCCAGGTATGTGCTGTCATTCCGTCCAGGTATGTCCTGTCATTCCGTCCAGGTATGTGCTGTCATTCCGTCCAGGTATGTCCTGTCATTTCTCAAGGGTTGGTGCGACTTTAGACCTGATGATTAAAACAGGAAACACTTTTTGTTTAGGTTGGGTCGCATTAAATGTCCTCTAAAGAGCTTGAAAATGTCCTCTGAAGAGCTTGAAAATGTCCTCTGAAGAGCTTGAAAATGTCCTCTGAAGAGCTTGAAAATGTCCTCTGAAGAACTTGAAAATGTCCTCTGAAGAGCTTGAAAATGTCCTCTAAAAAGCTTGAAAATGTCCTCTGAAGAACTTGAAAATGTCCTCTGAAGAGCTTGAAAATGTCCTCTGAAGAACTTGAAAATGTCCTCTAAAGAGCTTGAAAATGTCCTCTGAAGAACTTGAAAATGTCCTCTGAAGAACTTGAAAATGTCCTCTGAAGGGCTTGAAAATGTCCTCTGCTTCAGATAGAAAAACAGCCTGATTTAATTGCCCATAAATATTTTCTGAATTTGATTGCTTTAATCCCGTTCATCTTTTTTATTTCTGATGGAGGCATCCATTTTTCTTAATAACATCACATTAGAATCAATTTTTTAAAACATTGGAATAGATTTTTTTAAACATTGGAATCGATTTAAAAAAAATTGGAATCGATTTTGCGGGTGACAGACTAGCCCGGAAGACATTTCTCGGATTAAAAACTGTCTAAAACATATTGGAGGAATTTTTCTAGACCTATCAGAAATATATTTTAAATTACTTTAACCAGTCTAAAATACGTTCATGAAATTATTTAAACTAGTCTAAATAATTCCCGTGAAATTTAGACTAGTCTTAAACTATTTCCATGAAATTGTTTGACCTTCAAATTGTCGAGAAAAAGTGCGGGAAGATTCAGACCAGAAGGTATTCGTGTTTTATTGAAATGCTATTGGGCGACATTTGACTGTCACGTGTCTGCTGTAGCTCCTCCTCTAATGTTTGACCTTTGACCCCCAGGAACCTCCAGACCAGCATCCACGCCCCGCGCCAACTGGGCAAGATCTCGCTCGTCTGCATGTACGTCTGCTACATCGTCGGCTGTCTCTTCACGGCCTTCATCCTCCGCAAGGTTAAGGCCAAGACCCTCCTCCTTGCCTCGCTGTTCTTCCACATCCTCTACTCCGTGTCCAACGTCATCCCGTCTGCCTACACCCTCCTCCCCTCCTCCTGCCTGGTCGGCCTGTGCCAGCCCGCCTTTTGGGCCGTGCAGGACATGCTCCTGCTCAACTACGGCCTCAAGTACTCAGCCAGCACGCGCATGACGCCGCAGAAGTCCCTGCGCCTCTTCCAGACGGTGACCATCATCACGATCCACTCGGCTCAGATCCTGGGCAACCTGCTGAGTTCAGGGCTCATCTCGGTCTCCCAGTTCCACTGCAGCGAGGACTGGATGATGCTCAACACCAGCCGGCTGCCGGACAGCCACCCGGACCGGTTCATGCGGGCCGACAAATGGACGTACACCCTCCCCTTCATCCCCATTCAGGCGCGACGCTCCACCGAGGCGTCCCCGCCCGTCAACTTCTACCAGCTGCTCACCCTCATCTACCTGTGCATGAGCGTGGTTGCCATGGGAGCCGTGCTCATCTTCTTTGAGAGCCCGGACACCGTGCTCCAGCGTCGCGTGCTGTCGTGGAGGGAGCGGGTCAAGGAGATCGGGCAGTGCTGCACCGACCCTCGCTGGCTGCTGGCATGGTTCTCTGCCGCTTATGTCGGCTTCGCGCAGGGCGTCATTATGTGCGACATTACCAAGGTAAGAGCATGTCCCCTGTGTCCTTCCCGTGTCCTACCCGTGTCCTACCCGTGTCCTACCAGTGTCCTACCTTTGCCCTTACACACAAGGTTAAAAAAATGTATGTGACGTCACATAGGAGCCACTGTACTGTCACCAAAATAAAATCCCGGCCCGGCCCCCTCCATCACTTCCACCCCTTCCACCACTTCCACCCACTCCACTCCATCCACCTTTCACTAACAAAAGATAATCTTCAGAAGCTTTACCCCCCCCCCCGCCCTGCACACAACATCCAACCTGCTCAGATCATCCCCACCTTCCCCACCATCCCCCACCCCTCCAGATAAGAAATCAACCAATCACAGCGCTGTCTTGGTTCAAACCACGTGACCTATCACAAGTTCTCACATCTACATCACGGTCGCCATGGCAACGAGTCTTCAAATTACTTAAAAATCGAGCTGTAATTAGAAAGGCTTTTAATGTAGGTCAAGGTCGTCAGATAGTGGTACTGGGTCTGTCATTATGTATGACAGTCTGTCATTATGTATGACAGTCTGTCATTATGTATGACAGTCTGTCATGAGTTGCGCCAGGCATTAACTAGTTCGTGTATTTCCTGACGAAGTTTATGTACTCGAATTTGGGACATCACTGATACAGTAGTATAGACACACACACATTGTCAGCCCCCCCCCCTCCCTATGCACACATAAACACTCAACCCCTCCCCCCTCCCCCACACATTCAAACACCCCTCCCCCCTCCCCCACACATTCAAACACCCCTCCCCCCTCCCCCACACATTCAAACACCCCTCCCCCTCCCCCACACATTCAAACACCCCTCCCCCCTCCCCCCCCCACACCCACATTCAAACACCCCCTCCCCCCCACACACACTCACACACATTCAAACACCCCTCCCCCTCCCCCACACATTCAAACACCCCTCCCCCCCCTCCCCCACACATTCAAACACCCCTCCCCCCCCTCCCCCCCACACACACACATTCAAACACCCCTCCCCCCCACACCCACACACATTCAAACACCCCTCCCCCCTCCCCCACACATTCAAACACCCCTCCCCCCTCCCCCACACATTCAAACACCCCTCCCCCCCACACACACATTCAAACACCCCTCCCCCCCACACACATTCAAACACCCCTCCCCCCACACACACACAGTCAACCTGTCACGGACTGTGTCATAGATTAATGACGTAAAAATTTGCACTAACCCCCCCCCCCCCGCCAACTGCTCTCTAAATGTCAGTCATGACATTGACATCACGTGCCAGTGTCCCACTTATCTCTGTCCCAGTGTCACCCAGACCCCCCCTCACCCCCCCCCCCCCACACACACATGTATAGGCAAGTGTTGTCTGTCCTGTGCTAGATAATTCCAGCAAAACTTCCCATTAAAAATTCCTGATTACCTTCAATGTCGTAGATTTTTTTCTTGGACAGCGCATGCGTGCTGGAGCGGACATGTCACGTGTCGTTCACCCCCACTTGTAGCTAGCCGCCATGTTAGCTAGCGTGAGTGCTGCTAGCGATGGCATACTTTAATAAACGCCTCACTCGTCAGCCAAAAACTCCCAGCGGCCCCTCGTTCATTAGATCCCCACAAAAACTCCCAGCGACCCCTCGTTCATTAGATCCCCACAAAAACTCCCAGCGACCCCTCGTTCATTAGATCCCCACAAAAACTCCCAGCGACCCCTCGTTCATTAGATCCCCACAAAAACTCCCAGCGACCCCTCGTTCATTAGATCCCCACAAAAACTCCCAGCGACCCCTCGTTCATTAGATCCCCACAAAAACTCCCAGCGACCCCTCGTTCATTAGATCCCCACAAAAACTCCCAGCGACCCCTCGTTCATTAGATCCCCACCAATTTCTCCTGCCCAGATATATGCCCTTGCCGCTGTCCTAGGTCGTCGGATAAAGATCGGTTGTTGTAGCCACGATATTTTGTGCCGTCGGTTCATGTTGTAGCCACGACATTTTGTGCCGTCGGTTCATGTTGTAGCCACGACATTTTGTGCCGTCGGTTGTTGTAGCCACGACATTTTGTGCCGTAAGTTCATGTTGTAACCACGACATTTTGTGCCATCGGTTCATGTTGTAGCCACGACATTTTGTGCCGTCGGTTGTTGTAGCCACGACAATTTGTGTCGTCGGTTGTTGTAGCCACGACATTTTGTGCCGTCGGTTGTTGTAGCCACGACATTTTGTGCCGTCGGTTGTTGTAGCCACGACAATTTGTGCCGTCGGTTGCTGTAGCCACGACATTTTGTGCCGTCGGTTGTTGTAGCCACGACATTTTGTGCCGTCGGTTCATGATGTAGCCACGACAATTTGTGCCGTCGGTTGTTGTAGCCAAGACAATTTGTGCCGTCGGTTGTTGTAGCCACGACATTTTGTGCCGTCGGTTGTTGTAGCCACGACATTTTGTGCCGTCGGTTGTTGTAGCCACGACATTTTGTGCCGTCGGTTCATGCCGAAATGACCAGTTTAGGGACATGTAGTGAACGATGTGGATCGGGGGGGGGGGGGGAGGATATATACGAGGAGCAGGGACGATAACTCAAGAAGAAAATATTTGAATACAGTCTCGTTCTCTAGTACACTCCTGACCTCTAGAGCTGACCTCTAGAGCTGACCTCTAGAGCTGACCTCTGGAGACCTTTGTCAAAGCAAGAATATTAAGTTAAAAAACAGACTAGGCCAGTTGTCTTAACAGACTAAATAATCCACCGGTCCAGTTAACAGACTGTACGATCCACCGGGCCAGTTAACAGACTGTACGATCCACCGGGCCAGTCAACAGACTAAATAATCCACCGGGCCAGTTAACAGACTGTACGATCCACCGGGCCAGTCAACAGACTAAATAATCCACCGGTCCAGTTAACAGACTGTACGATCCACCGGGCCAGTTAACAGACTGTACGATCCACCGGGCCAGTTAACAGACTGTACGATCCACCGGGCCAGTTAACAGACTAAATAATCCACCGGGCCAGTTAACAGACTGTACGATCCACCGGGCCAGTTAACAGACTGTACGATCCACCGGGCCAGTTAACAGACTAAATAATCCACCGGGCCAGTTAACAGACTGTACGATCCACCGGGCCAGTCAACAGACTAAATAATCCACCGGTCCAGTTAACAGACTGTACGATCCACCGGGCCAGTTAACAGACTAAATAATCCACCGGGCCAGTTAACAGACTGTACGATCCACCGGGCCAGTTAACAGACTGTACGATCCACCGGGCCAGTTAACAGACTGTACGATCCACCGGGCCAGTTAACAGACTAAATAATCCACCGGGCCAGTTAACAGACTGTACGATCCACCGGGCCAGTTAACAGACTAAATAATCCACCGGGCCAGTTAACAGACTAAATAATCCACCGGGCCAGTTAACGGACTGTACGATCCACCGGGCCGGCTAACTGACTGTACGATCCACCGGGCCAGTTAACAGACTGTACGATCCACCGGGCCAGTTAACAGACTGTACGATCCACCGGGCCAGTTAACAGACTAAATAATCCACCGGGCCAGTTAACAGACTGTACGATCCACCGGGCCAGTTAACAGACTAAATAATCCACCGGGCCAGTTAACAGACTGTACGATCCACCGGGCCAGTTAACAGACTGTACGATCCACCGGGCCAGTTAACAGACTGTACGATCCACCGGGCCAGTTAACAGACTGTAGGATCCACCGGGCCAGTTAACGAGCCAGACGGTGGAGCCAGCCATCAGGGGCGGCTATCAGACTAATGATGTCTAACTAGAGTGAGCTCCCCCGGGCCCCTACCAGGGCTGGGACATCCGATCGTTCCTCATCCGGCGTGGAGACCTCTCCTTGGGTGGCTTGATGGATGCTGTGGGGGTAGCTAGGTGGGGGGTGTTGGCTAATTGGGATGTGGGGTAAGGGTAATTTTTTTCTGGGTCCCAGAGTCTCAAGGTCACGTGGTTCTAGGTTCCCAAGGTCACAGGATCCTAGTGACTATATCCAGCAAGTCAAGTTTTATCCCAAATCTTTAAGACCTGACCACTAGCCACACAAGTGTCACGTGACCACTAGCCACACAAGTGTCACGTGACCACTAGCCACACAAGTTGTCACGTGACAACTAGCCACACATGTCTCACGTGACCACTAGCCACACAAGTGTCACGTGACATCACTACCATACTCTCTTTGCAATCTTTCCCGCCAGCTAATGGAGGGAGGGGAGGTAGATGGGAGGGGGAGATGGGAGGGGGAGAGGGGAGAGGAAAGTTTCATTTAGCGACACGGTTAGGGCACTCTGATGGCTGCGTCAACAGCAAGCAGGAAATTATCGTCCGTGGCTTGTTCTAATCGTGTTGACGGTTACCACGTGACTTCACGTCTGCTTTATAACTCGTCCTCTAGACCAGTGTCCTCTGGACGCTTGTCCTCTAGAATCTGTCCTCTAAACCCCTGTCCTCTAGACCCCTGTCCCCTAGACCCCTGTCCTCTAGACCCCTGTCCTCTAAACCCCTGTTCTCTAGACCCCTGTCCTCTAGACCCCTGTTCTCTAGACCCCTGTTCTCTAAACCCCTGTTCTCTAGACCCCTGTTCTCTAGACCCCTGTTCTCTAAACCCCTGTTCTCTAGACCCCTGTTCTCTAAACCCCTGTTCTCTAGACCCCTGTTCTCTAGACCCCTGTTCTCTAAACCCCTGTTCTCTAGACCCCTGTTCTCTAAACCCCTGTTCTCTAGACCCCTGTTCTCTAGACCCCTGTTCTCTAAACCCCTGTTCTCTAGACCCCTGTTCTCTAAACCCCTGTTCTCTAGACCTCTGTCCTCTAGACCCATGTCCCCTAGACCCATGTCCCCTAGACCCCTGTCCCCTAGACCCCTGTTCTCTAGACCCCTGTCCTCTAGAACCCTGTCCCCTAGAACCCTGTCCCCTAGACCCCTGTCCCCTAGACCCATGTCCCCTAGACCCATGTCCCCT